TTTAAAATTCCACTCCTAGGAGAGACTGAAATTACAATTCGATTAGGTATTAAGTTTTGATGGAGCTTACCACAAGTGATTCTATTTTGGGTCTTGTTTCTTTTTCACAGCTGATAATGATAAAAACAGTAGGTAGTCTTACACCGCATAACAACATCGGGGTCAACGATGGACTGCCACTCTCTCTGCATCTCCACAATTCAGAGATTATAAGTATATTTGTTCTTTTGTAATTGTTTTACTAGTAGTCCCCTCAAATTCTTGTTGGAATAATGTTGGGCATTCAGTAAACCGCAAATAAATATATATTATGTATTATATTGCCTACTAATAGTTACCTTTGCTTTGTCTCTTTTTCACCTCAAATTCATCTTGAACACTTAAATCATTTTTTGATCATTCTACTTCTCCAGTCAAATTTCAGTGACGCTTTAATGTTTAGAGAATAAAATTGAGGCTCCTTAACATGAACTTCCTGGTCTCGAACAATCTTGCCTCTATCTGCCTTCTTTTCATTGTAGCCAGACTAGTTCCCCCATACGCCGTTCCAGCTCCCACCCGTATGCCTTTTCTCACCATCCAGAATACCCTCATCCTCCTCTCCAACAATGTGCACGTGAACCTGTTTTGTCTTGTTTCCCATCACCCCCTGCTAAAGGTTACTTCTAGCTCAAGGCTAGAAGTATGTGATATTCATTATAGACTCTTCTTTGCTACAACTGAGTCCCCAACCACTGCCACCACCACTGCCTTTCCTCCCAAAGCTCCATGGACCTTGTCACCCTTGGTCTATAATCTTCACTGTGGAAAGAATGTGTGCTAGTGCGTGTGGGAGATGTGTGCATGCACGTACATGTACACATGAGTTTACCAGTGCTTGCTCATTAAAATTGCTCCACTGCACTCTCTACCATCCATTTCAGACCTGCTTTCTCACACAGTTGATTTCTGGGCTTCATCTTGTCTTCTCCTTTGTTTCCTACGCTTCTTTGGATTAGGAACTTGATTTCTCCTTGTGACCTGGCTCCATCTGGCACTTCCTCTAAATACAGTTTTCAGGAGGTATTCAATTTCTGAATTCTAAGCATATATAACCCTTAAGAATACTTAATCGATGCTCTGGATTGGCCAAGGCTGGAATGGGAGACGGGAGTCTATTTTCATTGGTCTAATGCCTTCATCATGGGTTTCTGTAAATGACCTCCAGAGTAGCGGATCAATAGGAAACATATAAAGAGTTTGCACGATCTTTTTAGTGCAAATCAGGCAATGAAGATATTAGTTGCAATAGGTGGGAGAGTGAGGTGGATTTACCATCAAGTTAATATAGCTTTAAACTTCAGGGTCTCTTTGATGGTCTTATATCAATTTTTGTAGTTTAATTTTGATATCAGTTTCTTAAAGAGATCCTGAAAATGATTAGGCCTCCTCCACCCCTCCATTCCTAATTTAATCGTTCTCTAGAGTAGAACAGTGTGCCCATTGTACCCAAGGCTGCTCAGGTGGACAGAGGGTGGTAATAGTTGTGCAAACTGAAGACAAGGTTGCTAAAAATCTATCCCCCTCCTCATGAAACATGGATTTTACATCTAGTGGCATTGTTCTGGTTTGCAGTTTACCCTTTTAGATCATAGGAAACCTTTGCTCGGGAACAGCCACATCATTCCGTATTCCAACATATATACCATCTTGGACTTTGGCTCCTGGGAGCTGTTCAGTTCTCCAGTCGCTGAACTCTTACTTACTCAAACCTGTCTCAGACTTAGCATTCCATGCTCATAATGTAGCTCAATTTCATTGTGACTCCCAGCTAAGTGATGCTCCCAGGAGTGTCGTCGCTGGCAGAAGTTAAGGTTCATGTTATATTATACACCCAAATATATGATAGATTCTTGCCTAAACTGGTTAATAAGTAACTACGACTGAAGCCTCAAGAGAGAGGAGGCAAGGTTAGCAGATGAGAATGACACTATAAAGAGATACTGAGTCCCTTTTCTGTACTCCATTCTTTATTTTATGGAGTTTGGTTGAAATAGACATATGAATTTTGTTTAATACTTTCATTGGGAACACCTAATTTTACTTTTCAGAAACCACAGAAACTTAAAATCAGAAGAAATCCTAGATCTCACATAGCTTATTTTCCATGGAATTCATAAATCTTATCCACAATATACCTGGTCCAACATAGATACCACCTAACTCTAGTCTAGAATGTCAGATGGTGGTCCCTTTATCTGTTGACCACCTCGGAATACAAGAAATCTACCTCTCGTTAGGCTAAGGGTCGTCAGTATACGCCATTGTGTGCTTCCCTTTAGGATCACACAGGACACCCTCCAGGGGGGACTCTACAATCTTCAATCCAGTCTGAAAAAGCTTGGAGTAATTCCAAGACAATCCAAGCAGGCTTCAATAGACAAAAATGGGGTCAAATATAAGATAACACGAGAATGAGATGTGACTTTACGGAAATATGAGTTGATAATAGTGGTTATGGGTAATATTCACAGAATATTACTATAGATCAGAAGTCAGGCAGGCATCATTTAAGTGCTTATATTTTTTAGCCATTTATTTTTCACAATAGTTTTATAAAGAATATTGTCTTCATTTTCCAGTTGTAGAAACTGATGTGCAGAGTAACTGACGTGCAGAGTAACTAGTCCAAAGACATGCAGCTAGTAAGTGAAAGAGCTAGGATTTGAATCCAGGCCAATTGAATCTGGAGCCTGAATCTGCAGTAGACTACCTTAATAATTGTAACTAAGAATATCTAAACCACGTGCCAGGCGTCGTTCATTTATTTGACCCTCATAATAGCAATCCTATGAAAGCATGCACTATTATAGAACAGCTAAGTAAGTTGCCTAAGTTCACACAGCTAGTGAGTACTGAGATTAGGATTCAAATCCAGAGAGCTGTGGTATAGATCTGATGCTCTTCTCCCCTACTCTAGACCCTCTTGGTGGTACACTCCTTTGTAGATAGTGATAGTGTTAGATTCAGAGCTTTGTCATGTGCAGGGAAGGCAAATGACAAGGGCAAGAGTAGGATAGATGCCAGCTGGTAAAAATGCAGAGGGAAATTAGATACTGACTGGTATCCAGGCTACCTAGAGAACTGCCAACCTAATCCTTCTTGCTAAGGACACAAAGAGGACAAATTATCTCTAGATAGAAGGAGCCTAAATGATCAGAAAGAATGGCTTCCCTCCAGGAAGCTACCTCTATGGAAAGGAAAATGAGGCCTAATGTAATTTGCCAGTTTCTGGTTTTAGAAAGGGGATGGGAAGCTTGCAGACACCTGAATTTTACTGTGAACCTTTTGGGATGGAGGTACTACTGGGGCAAGCAAAGAAAGGTCCATTTAAAATTCTCCCCATTGGATTCCCTTTCTGAACAGCCTTTTTTTTTTTTTTTGGTGAGTTATGTAGAAATTTTCATGATACACAAAGGAATAAAAAATGCCTCTAAATATTGAATAAGTTGTGCCAAATATTAAGCAATGCAATTAGTTCATTTTTCAGAAATCCATTAACTAAGACTGAAAACCTTAGGATTTCACATTTAGTTATTTGTTCATTCAGAGAATATTGCTAGGTAATCTAAAATAATATCTAAATCAATGTTTAAAAATTATATTTGCAGAGGAAATTTACAAGTTTTTTAAAAACTGGATTCATTTACAAAACAAGTAATTGTTTAAAATATCCAATGTTTGTTAGCTACAGTCATTCAGTAAATATTTATTGAACACCTACATATGCTAGGTACTGTTTCAGGGTCTCAGAATATAGCACCTGCAGTAGCAGCAACAAAAAACAACAAAACTTTCAGCAGTAACCAAGGAAAAAAAGTAAAATGTAGGACATTTTAGAGAGTGGTAAGTGCTAAGGAGAAAAATAAGCAGGAGAGAGGAAGGGGGTTGCGTGTGGCAATTTATATGGGGTGACCAAAGAAGACATTAGAATGTGCATATTCCTTAGAGTTTAGAATTATGTAGCATTTCACCTGTACTGAGAGGTATCTGATATATTTTTGCACACAATCAAAATAATAGTAAGAAGCAATAAAATGTATACACGGTTTTAGGGTTTTAGATAGCAGCACTTCTTAAGATTAAATCTATAGGGAGATACTCCTAGTTTCAATTTAAGTTTAATAATGAGTATTTAGAGTATTCTTTTTTTCCTTCAAATTTTGTTTCTCAAAAAGTAGCAGGGCTGACTTTTTCTCTAGTCAAGGAAGACTCTAGGTTATGTGTGCTCTTGAGAGTGGGAACTATCTCATTTATTCCCCAGAGCCCATGATAATGTGTGGCACATACCGTTCAAAACAAATTTGATAATTGGAACCCACTGAACCCAATGAATGTCTGTGTCCAGAAATTACTAACTACAGGTATTGGTCCAAGGACGAATGCTGAGCCACAGGGTCTGCTGTGGCACCACACCTCTCACAAGCCGCAAGCCGCATTTGTCAGCGGCATGGAGGTTGGGCAGGGATTCCAACTTTCCAAGGGTAGATTTCTGATGAAATCTCTTTATTCGGTTGAAATGCTTTATGGTGTTTTTCCTGTGCCGAGTCGAGCACGAACTTTTGAAACGTGGTGCCGTCTGCTTTAAAGGCAGTGTCTGACCTTGACGCACACGTGTGCTGGGGCGAGAGGCCAAATTCATACTCCTGAGTGCTGGACCGGGTCCTAGGGGAGCCTCTCTTGCTGGTGAGTGTGACATTGCCAGCCCCTTTGTCTCCCCTGCTGTTTGTCCAGCCCCCTCGTTCCCGGAGTTGCCCAATCCGCGGGCCGCCTCCCGCTCAATGCTCGCAGGTGGTAGGATTCCTGGCAGGCTAATGAATTCTTCAGCCCCGCCCGCTCCTGCAGTTCCCGGAGAACTTGCTCCCGCCCAAGAAGCTCTCCGATTGGTTCCCTGCTGGGCGAAGGCTCCTGCTGATTGGTCAGCAGGCCGTAACGCGCGGGGCGGGGCCTGGTGCCGCGTGTGGGGAGGATTACTGCGTTTGCGGAATCCGGAGGTCCGGGTTGCGGTTCGCCTCTCACAGCCGCCTCACTCGGCGGGAGAAAGAGTCGCAGGAGCAGTGGGCCACGAGGTTGGGGTTGGGGTACAGGGAGGGCCCCGCATGCTGGGCAGGGAGGGGTGCAAGGAGAGGGAGGAGGGCGGGAACGCGAGGCAGCACCCGGGAGCCCGGGGACATGGCGAGGCCCGACGATGAGGAGGGGATTGAGGTGGCGCCCGGGCACCCGCCTGCGAACGGATATCTCCCGGTCCCGGGGGTCGCGCCCTCCAGGGAGATGAGCCCGGAGCCGCAGAACGGGCCCAAAGCTGGCTTGGCCCTGAATGGGGTCCCTCGGGACAGCCCCGCGGCCACCTCGGGAGCCCTGGGCAGTCGGCAGACTCAGCTGGCTCCGGAGGAGGAGACCCAGGTTCGGCTGCTGCCCACGGGCCCTGGGGAGGAGACCCCAGGGGCTGAGGGCAGCCCGGTCCCCCGGACGGCGCTCTCGGCACGGCGCTTTGTGGTGCTACTGATCTTCAGCTTGTACTCGCTGGTCAACGCCTTTCAGTGGATACAGTACAGCATCATCAGCAATGTCTTCGAGGGCTTCTACGGCGTCTCCTCGCTGCACATCGACTGGCTGTCCATGGTGTACATGCTGGCCTACGTGCCCCTCATCTTCCCGGCTACCTGGCTGCTGGACACCAGAGGCCTGCGGCTCACCGCCCTGCTGGGCTCCGGCCTCAACTGCCTGGGTGCCTGGATCAAGTGCGGCAGTGTGCAGCAGCATCTCTTCTGGGTCACCATGCTGGGCCAGTCCCTGTGCTCGGTGGCCCAGGTGTTCATCCTGGGCTTGCCCTCCCGCATCGCCTCAGTATGGTTTGGCCCCAAGGAGGTGTCCACAGCTTGTGCCACCGCCGTGCTAGGCAATCAGGTAAGGATTAGATAAAAATTGATAGATGAAAATTGGATCCGTAAAAGACCAGATGGAGTCATAGGCCATGTGAGCTAGCCGTGTGGATGGACCCTCAGGAAGCTTGGCTATAAATGAAGTAGTCATAAGATAGGAGGCACTCTTTTGGTTAAAGAAGGGTTTTTGATCTATTTTTAAGGGCGAACTTTCAAAACCAGTTTAAAGTGAGCACCTTATCATCTTGCTTAGAGAATTACCAATTCAGTAATTAACTGAATTGGCCTTTATATGTCTGACATCATAGAAAACTTGTCAGTGTACTAATGAATGAGACTTGTGTAGGTGCTGTTTTTGTCACCCCCAGTGTATTCTTTGCAAAAGGAAGTGTCGGGTTCTGAGGATTTTGTTCCCTTTGTGTGATCAGTGTGGAAAGCCCCTGTTTAATTTTGTATATCAGGAGTCGGTGCCTGGTACATAACAGACACTTATAAATGACTGCTAAATAAATGTTCTGGTGATAAAGTCTTCACAACATTCTTGAAGCCAGTTACCAATTTTTAATATTAAAAATGAGAAATCACAGGTCATGGAATCTATTGCAAAAGGGTGGCTTATGTTGCCAAGTTAAGGTGCTTACTAGTTTTTCCTTCCACCATGGGTTCAAATTCTGTTAGCATGCCAGTGGCATTATTAGGTGGAATGTTTGTGTTCCTTTTTCTAATTGCAAATTGATTATTTTATTGTCATTTAAAATTTGCATAAGGAGTCCTACAATACTTTTATTGTTTAATACTTTATGTAAATTGTATAGAGTGTTTATTCAGCTTGAGGAGAATCTAGTTAAAAATCTGTATACAAAAAAACTTGCCCTCTCTCTATGCATCTTTCTGCTGTGTGTAAGCTATGTAACAAAAGATTGTTACTTTTACTTCCAGTCCAACACTTGTTTCAAGATCCCAATAAGATTTATTTAAAATCCATAAAAAACACTAACTCTACATGCTGATTGCTTTAAACTTGTTTCCGTTCTCTAAAAGTACAGAAGGGGTAGCTTGAATTATAGTTGTTGTTTATCTAAAATAATTTATAACTGATATTTTAATTGGTTGCTTCTGCATGTTTGGATAGGAACTGTTTTCTTAAAGTATTTTACATTTATGAAATTATATTCAAGATTAACACTTCTAGCTCATGATAGAAATATTATCAACTCCACAGCTATATAAATTATCTATTTCATGAATATATAGACCTAAGAGTGGAATTCACATGGTAATTCTATGTTTAACTTTTTAAGGAATTGCCAAACTCTTTTCCACAATGGCTGCACTATTTTACAGTCCCACTAGCCAGTGTACAGGGTTCCAGTTTCTCCACATCTTGCCAACGTTCGTATATTCTGTTCTTTTTTTTTTTTTTTTAATTATAGCCATCCTAGTGGGTATGAATTGGTATCATTTTCTAATGACTAATGTTGAGTATTTTTTCATGTGCTTGTTGGACATTTGTATATCTTCTGTATAGAAATGTCTATTTAATCCTTTGCCCATTTTTGAATTGGGATATGTGTCTTTTTGTTGCTGAGTTGTACCATTATATAAGTTGTACTTTTTCAGGCTTATTTTACGTATTCTTATTTCCCTCTTTGATTGTAAGCATCTAAAGCAGGATTCCCCAACGCCCTGGGCCGCGGACAGGTATTGGTCCCTGGCCTTTTAGGAACCGGGCAGCACAGCAAGAGGTGAGTGATGGGCAAGGGAGCTGAGCTTCATCTGTACCTGCAGCTACTCCCCAGCGCTAGCATCACCGCCTCAGATCATAAGGCATTAGATTCTCATAAGAGCACTGGTCCTGGTGCCAAATAGGCTGGAGACTGACCTAAAGGATAAGGACTGTATGTTACACAATTTTATAGCAGCATCATTCAGATTGTAGTTCAGTGAATGTTTACTGAATAGAGAAAACGTTCGTCATCAATTTTTCTTTAACAGTGCAATTGTAAAACGACATTAGAACACGGTGCTTTTAGAGTTTTCAAAAGCACCCTTAGTTTAGTAGCTGTTCTCTTTGTGTCGTATTAATCGGAAGTACACACTTTTTTGTTTCTTCTAATAATAGCTGTAAAGAGGATTGTTTATTTTACAGCTTGGAACTGCAGTTGGCTTTTTGGTACCACCAGTTTTAGTGCCCAACACACGGAATAACACAGATCTGGCTCATAATATCAGTACCATGTTTTATGGAACAGCAGCTATCGCCACACTTTTATTTATTTTAACAATAATTGGTAAGTGAATTATTTTCTCTAAAGCTTAAATAGATAAATGCATGACAAACGTATGACAAGAAAAATAACCAACCCTGAAAATTTTTATTGATATCTCAAGTGCCATTTGCTTTTTTCATTCTTGCCATAGCACTGTCTTGCTCAGGTAATGAATGCTACAATCCTAGGGCTGTGTTATGGTCCTTCTGTTTTACTATTGTAAAGAGTTTGAAGACTAATTCATCTCATTTATCTCCCTACTAACTTTTCTTCCCTGTTAACCGTTGGTTTCAAGCATATTACCTGTCTCTTTTTTGCATAGTCCTCTACATATTCTGCACGTTATGCTAACCTAGCCAGGAACACGTTCTTGTCAATGCTTTGAAACGATGTAAATAGGCTACCTCCTTCCTTTTAATGATAAATCCTTCCAAGGATCCCCAATTTAACAATTAACTGGATCTGAAAATGTTGACCAGATCCTGGGCAGTGGCAAGCTGTTCAGCAGAATTTCAAATCGTGGCAACTATCTGCTTGTTAGGCCACTCCAGCAAAGCACTGCTGCCACCATTCGTCACTGAGTCCTCTCGTCTGAGCCTGTCTCTTGAAGCAGTCAGTCAGAATCAGCTGCAAGCAGCCATCATCAGTTTGGAAGAAGGTTTGGGAAGGTCTGATTTTTAAAGTTTATTTTTAATGGGAAACAATTTTGATTTCAGGTTAAAGGATAGGTAAGGTTTATTAAAGTAATATAGCTGTTAACTATAATACTGCCCTTTAGACAGTATATCTTGATTTGAAGAGCAAAGGAACTTTAAAGTTGAAAGGCCATCTTTTAATAAAGTTTGCAGTTAAATTTCATTATAGCTTGAGTTTTTCATTTATATATTTTTATCATGACTATAATAGTAACGAAAAATTCAAATTTTGTGATCTCCAGATATGAAATCCTTTAGTTCTCTAAGAAATGTATACGAAGACTATAGAGTGTTTTCATAGAAACTACCTTTATAGATGAACTGCAGGATCCAGGTGTAGGAAGCTCAGCCAACATATTTAATAATTCTTTAAGATAATGAACTTTCCTGGTTCTCTTGGTAGTATAAAAAGTATTCTGACATATCCAGTCTACTTATGGATGGCTTTTATGTTTCAGTTAGGGAGCAGCATGTTTGCTGTGTGCAGACTACTGAATAAAGGACAGATTATCCTTGTACTATTTTAGCAGTTTAACAAAGTTTTAGAAGAAATCTATATTTTTAAAGAATATGTCTACTTTTCTGATAGCTGTATTTGGTTTGCTGGATGAAATATAGTGTATATACATTTCATATAAATGGGCCTTATATTAGCAATAGGGATTATTAAAATATAAAATTCTCTTTCCTTTGATTGCTTATGGCTCTTCACATAAATTCTGGTTTTCCTTTTTTTATTGTTTTCAATTGCTTGTCTCTTTGGAGGAAGTGAGAGAGTAATAGATTATATATAAGATATCTATAAATATGAAATTATATGCACATATAATATATACGTGAGATGCTTTTTATTTGTCAAAGTAGGAAGACAAAAAAAATGATAACAAGTGTGACCATTGGCATATCACCCTGTGTTATTCGAGAAATTAAAAGAGAACTCTTCATGTACGTACTTAATTATATACTCATGGCTTATGAATAGAGAGTGCAAATGGAAATGAGGAAAAAGAATGGAAAAAATGGAATAGAAATAGAATAGGAAAAAAGAGATTCATTGTCAAGTTTTGCTTGGTGACTTGTAATATCAATCTTTAGTACAAAAGCAAGATAATATACAGTTGTGATGTGAAAATCTTAAGTTGCAAATTGTGACATTTAAATAAATTTACGCATCTTCCTTATATCCAGATATTTGCTATTGAGGAAACTATGGATTATTTTTAAAATCTTAACTTACTTAAAGGTCCTAAATTACTAAGAGAGAATCCTACTTTCCTCTAAATTCTACCCATTAGTATTTTTGAAACCCAACCAGATCTTATAAAATTAGTTTTACAGATGCTTTTCAGCAGTGTAACATATACTAAATTGGTGCTCAGCGGTTTTCCTAAAATACTGTCTTGAGTGTTCATGCCATATAACCCTGTTATCCTCGTAATTGAGCTTACATGTGAGTGTAATCCATCTAGCACTTCTAGAAATTAACCCAAGCCTTCCACTGGATTTCACTGTAATACCCCATTCTTATTGGGAGAACTCTGTTATAGCCTCTAACATTTGATTGATTGATATGTACCAAACATGTTTAAAGGCACACTCCATGCTTATTGCATTTACTCCTCATAGCCCTCTGAGGGCGGCACTATTATTATCATTCCCATTTAATAGATGAGGAAACTGGGCACAATTTAAGTAATTTATTTATCCATGGTCATAGTAATACTGAAGATGAAATTTGAGCCTATGCAATCTTAACTCCACATATAAAATGTTGTATATAAAAGTATAATACTTTAATTTTTACTTAGTCTTATTTTTTGTTCCAATTCAAAAAATTCTTGTATAAGCGATCATGCTATTCTTGTGCAGCAGAGCAGTAAACCATACTACTTAAGTGTGTCAGTTAAAATCCCTGCCATCCCGATTCACTAAAGTGAGTGGATGACAGAAAACAAAAGTAACGGCAATCAGATATTTAATATTAAAGTACTTAAACACATGAGTATATAATATATATACATAATTTTACTTCTGATTCTTATATTCAGGATATTTATATACAGGCTGCTTATTATAAACTTTTGACTTTTTACTTAGTCTCTAAGAATTTCAAGCCCTTGAGATAAATTTAGTCTCTGATTTTTAAAAATAAATATTCCTCCCCAAATTCTTTAGCATATATCATATAAGCCTTATAACAGCTTGCTGTTGTTTTTATGGATAAGATAGCTATAGTCAAGAGATAGAGATTGACTGCTTCAGTATACAGCAATATGAGGCAGAGCCAGGATTCGAACCTATATTTGTATTATAGTAAGTTAATATGTGTAATGTCTGCTTAAATCATAGGAACCAATAATGAAATGGAAAGATAATGTAATAATCTAATTTTAAAAAGTAGAAGTGGTCCTAAGCGATAGATTTGTTGCTTCATCATGGGAGAAAAAGTTTGATGTGGAGCCCAAAATTCTTTGGCTACTTATATGCCTATTGCCAGGCGGGTGGAGAATAACTGCTTTAACAGGTAGTTGACACAAGTTTTGGTGGGGAGAGAAGAGGGTTAAGAAGGCTATTGTTTTTCAGTTTCAAAGGATAAAGGAAAAGCCTTACTTCATCCTTTGAAAATACAGTGCAGCGTAAACAGGGTCATAGACCAATGGTTTTGTGTTCTGTTTTCTTTTCTTTCACGTATACTTAAGCTCAACTTTACTATATAATGTAGCTGGTAGATACAGGCCTGATTTTGTCCAAGAGGGCAGTTGACTGCCTGAAATTAAAAGATAACACCTGTATTTAGAAAATAAATCTAATGGAGTTAAAGTCTAGTAAGAATTGTTTATGTATTTGAGATCTGAGCCATTCAGACTTATTTTGCCATAGTAAATAAAAACCTAAGAGACCCAAGACTCACTAAATGTTCATGACTACCTTGTAAACATAGTTTTTACATTCTGAAACTTTGTTTTACAGCTGTGTGAGTTCTGTATTACTGATATCAATACGAGATATAATAAGAGATATCTCCTATCTTAACTAGGACACTTTCAGAAAAGGACAGCAGACGTCCTCAACAGTGCAAGGAGCAGATAGGGTGAAAGGAAGAGGAGGAATTACAACAACTTAAACATTTTATGTCTACCAGTCCTTCCAATGTAAGGATATTAAAATAAATATTTGTGAGTTATGTCTCCTCTTGAATTGTTGTGAGACCTGTAAAAATAGAAGTCTATTTTAGTTTGATAAGTTTTAGTTATGTCATAATCAGTGTATTGGTGAGTAAAAAATTTTAATTTTTAGCAGCAAACAGGAGAATTTGAGAATTATAGAATTATATGGAAGTTTTAAGGATCATTTCTTTTGTGGTGATTTTCAAACCTGGCTGGGTAGTGATAGCATTTGGAGAGTTTTGTGTTTAATACAGATTCTCAGGTTCTGTTTGGGAGGTTCTGATTCATTGAGCCTTGGGTGGAATCTTAAAAATCTGTATTGCTTTTAAATTTTTGCATGATTATGATTGATAGATAGGTCCACCAGCTCTAGCCCACTTTCAAGCTACAAAGCAGGCCTTTCTTGTTGGAAAAAAAGAAATAGATACTGTTAAAAAAAAAGAGAGAGAGAAAATGAGAGAGAGAAGAAAGTTCTGATCTTTTGGAAAATACTACTTTTTCTCAGTCCATTTACCTTCTCTTTTTTTTGTTTTTGAATATACTCTATTTCATTGATTCTAAAGTGTGTATTGATTCTCTTTTCATGAAATCTCTGAAATCAAGATGTCTTCAATAATCAATGGCATGTAAGATGAACAAGTCCTAGAGATCCGTACAGTGTTAGTTAACAATGCCATATTGTGCACTTAAAATGTATTAAGAGGGTAGATTTCATGTTAAGTATTCTTTCCACAATAAAAACAAGTCAGTGGCATGTAACATTGATGGTGATTGAGATATGATTATGTGAAAACCTACTATTGATACCTGGCAAGGTCATTGAGTATCAGTATCAAACCATCTTAGATTCAATGAGATACAGTATTTTCCATTTATTTTAGTTTAAGATTTTTGGATCAATACTAAAACTAGATCTTAATTTCTGATGTACCAAATTTTAGCAGTTCAGCTCTACCGTTAAGTAGTATTGACTTCTAGCTAGCCAAACCCTATGGAATTCTCTCCTTAATCATCTGTTGCAGGAAGTTAGTAGATTCTTCCCTGCCTAAGAAAAGGGCAGTCTTTAAATGTCTAGCTAAGAAGCCTGTGAAATCTGCCCCTAACTCCATAGAAATGGGCTGTGTTAGAGCTTACAGAATCAGAATCCATATGTCACACCGTTATGTCTCCCAGCTTTACCCCTAGATTTTCCATATGCAGCTAGAGTGAGTCAGCAAGACCTAGCTCTGCTCCCATGAATCTACCTGGACTTTTTCAGTTCTAGAGCTGTAATTGGACCAGATGATAAAATTTACATCAAATTTCAGAAGAAAGTCGTTACTAACTCAAGACAATCCTCTAAAAATTCAGTAATATATTGGCTTGCTCATATATGTTACCTTTAATTAAAAATTGAACTAAATTTAGAAATAGAATTGTTTAATGTTCAATATAATAAAAATTAATCTTAACTAAAAGTGGAATAATCCATGGGCAAGATTGTGACATATTATTAATGGTTTTGCAGTTTCGAATGGGCCAAATCTCTGAGTTTTATTTGTCAAACTATTTTCACTTAGAAATTCATGAAAATGAAAAGCCTCACTATAAAAGACTTTCACTACTTTAAATTTAATTTATGTGTGTTCACTATGGAAGACACATTTATTAAATTACCTTTCCATGTATGTTTCCAGCATTCAAAGAAAAACCTCACTATCCACCAAGTCAGGCTCAAGCAGCTCTTCAAGACAGCCCTCCTGAAGAGTACTCCTATAAGAAATCAATAAGGAACCTATTTAAAAACATGCCTTTTGTCCTTCTATTGATCGCTTATGGTAAGTGGTTTTCTTTTGTTTTCTTTGATGTCTGTATAAACCTTTGAGCATTGTGGATTTTTCTCATTTAACCTAGTGGTTTGAGCTTTAATTAATGACATAGGCTTGTTAACTCTAAAAATAATGATAGCATAGTCATAAACTTAAATTTTGAATTAAAAGCAAAAACTTCAGGATGGATTTACTTACATGTTTTTGAAGTAAACTAATATGTCTGCAATAGAGAACCACTGTCTTCTGTGTGGTCTCACAGATATTTTAGGTTCTTTATGAGCTATAGTTATGACTGCTCAAAACATACGGGAAATGTCATGAACAATTCTTTTGTCTGACTTTGTGCAGACTGGCATTGATTTTGACTACTCAATCAAAACTATTAGACATTAAGAAGGTCACCTTAACCAGTTCTAACTTTAAAAAAATTTCTCATCCTTTTAGAGCTTTCAGGATAGCTGACAGATATTCATACTAACACTGTAGCTTTACTGCAGGCATCAACACATTTGGTTCCCTTCAGAGATTTCTAACAGTGTATTCATTGTTTATTATGTTAACACTACTTATATTACCACCAATACCCCCATATTTCTGTCTTACTTGCCCTTCAGAAGTCACTCACTGATGTTCCCTTTACAGATGGGGGTGTGCACCCTCTACTACATAACTGTCTTAGAAGTTGTAACAAATTTTTCCCTGACTCAAACTCTTACCCTTTTACCAGGATTACTTCGTGTGTGTGTGTGTGTGTGTGTGTGTGTGTGTGTGTGTGTGTGTGTGTGTGGAAATTGTTAAACACAAAAGTAGAACTTTTAACCTAATGAATTCCTGTGTACCCACCAGCACCCAGCATCAACATTTCTCCGTTCTTGCTTTATCTGTTTCCTCTACTTTTTTTCCTAAAATATTTTAAAGCAAATCCCAGATATTACATCATTTCATCATTAAATATTTAAGTATACCATAATTCTTTTTCTTAATTTTGCCCCACTGGTTAGCTTAAATCTAAAACTCATAACTAGGAAGTACAGAAACTATTGTGCTTCACTATTAATATAGAGCAAACTCATTTCTTTAGCCTGCCATTTAAGGTGTCTTCTTACCTATCTTCTTTTATCTCTATTTCCCAATACAAAATTCTCTTTCAACCAGATTTATAACCAACCTCCTGTCACAGACATGCAGGCTCACACACACAAATAGGCCTCCATATGCATATACGCTGTTAACTGTAGTCTCCGTAATGTTGTGCCATTATTTCTTTTACCTGAAATGTTTTCCTTTTTTTTCCGTAAGCAATTCTATAAGAGCTAGCTTAACATTTAACCTCACTTATTGTTCATTTTGTTATTCATTCATTTATTCCATCAATAATTATCAAATATCAACTAAGTGTACAATAGTGACCTTGGTGCTGTGTAGGCTAGAAGGAAGCATGATATATGATTTCTGCCCTAAAGTAGTTATAATCCAAGTGGGGAGGTAATATAAACATCTGAAAAGTAAACAACAGTGTTAAGTGTTTATCAAAAGGTAACAACACGAGAAGTTATATGGTAAGTGCATGTTACTTCACATGCTTCCATGATTATTAAGGCAGAAAATGGGAAATGTCACTTTTGCTCACATTTCAAGCCACTAAGTGCCTAGAAAGAGAAAAACTGGAATATTCGTGAACAGCTCTAATGACAAGAACATTATGTAAATATGAAAACTTGATTTTGGGAGAAGAAAACTACATAGTAAATTGTCCTGGGATGATTGATTATTTATGTAAGAAAGCAAAGTTAAATGTAGGTCTCTATATCATACCATGCACAAAAATGAATTGTAGTAGATTAAAGACCAAAGGGTAAAAATCAGAACTTTAAAGTTTTAGAAACAAATATAGAAAACTATCTTTAATATTCTTAAAAGAATTTCTTAATGCAAAAACATAAACCGTAAAGAAAAAGGTTGATAAATATCATTACCTTAAAATAAAATAATGGTCTTTTCCAAAAAGACACGAATAAAAAGTGAATAGATAAGACATAGACTATGAGAAAATGTCTGCAACGCATATAACCGACAAAGGCTTAGTACCTACAATATAAAAGTAACTCTTACTAATCAATAAGAAAAGAGCAAATAGTCCAAGGGAACCAGAAGGCATTTATGTGTTTCTATATGTGTGTATTACTTATATATAATGCTCAACCTTACTAGTAATTAAGGAAATACAGATCAAACCCAGACTAAGATATAACATCACACACATTCAAATTGGTAAAAAAAAAAAACAAAAAAACAACAACAAAAAAACCCACTTAATTTGGTGAAAGCAAATTTGGCAAATATGTGGAGTAATGGAACTCTGCTGATAGTGTAAACTGATAAAACCATGGTGAAAAGCAGTCTGACCCTATCCAGAAAATAGAAGTTCTCTTAGGTATGCTCTGAGAGAAACCCTTATGTGTAAGAACAGAAACACAATATTCATTGTAGTATTGTTGTAAATAGTGAAAAACTGAAAAAAGCCTTAAAGGTCTGTTGACAGGACAAGAGATAATTAAATTGAAGTGTATTTACACAATGGACTGTTGTGTAGCAGAGAAAAATAGTAAACTATGAGCACAGGTAAACTTCAAAACCATAATATTGAATAATAAGAACAGTTGATGGATACAATTAATATATAAAACTTTATTTATATATTTATATAAAGTTTAAGTACATGCAAAATAATTCTAATTGTTTATGGAAACACATGTAGTGTCTAAAATGATAAACACTGAGATCAGGATTAGAGTTACCACTGAGAAATAATAGGAGAGAAGAACAGGATTAGGGAAGGTCTAAAAAATGAATCTGAAGCAAGATGGCCAGATGTTAATGTTTGACAAAGCTGGGCGACTAGTAAGGGTATTTCTTAAATTATTGTTTATACTATTTTGTATGATTGAAGTATTTAGTAATAAAAAGAGTGAGAAATAATAAACTGAAGTCTCAGCTAGGTTAAGAGACTTACCTAAAGTCATAAATACATGCAAGGAAACAGCAAACCTAGTCATAATAACCAGCTGTTTTTTATTTTTCTCTTTCAGTATCCTTTAATTAATATCATCTTACTAATTGTTTTGTTAAGTCTTTTTGATGCAGGGATAAAATCTCTAAAACAGGGGTTCTGTCTTATGCTTAAACATTTATTAGCTTGAGTACATTGTAGGTACTCGGTAAGCAATCCATTGCTTGATTGCCATGTACAGTATTATGCATGGGGATATGATTTATAGTCGGTATATTTGAATCTAAGTAATAATAGATGGTGTAATGACAGAATCTTACAGTCATAATCTCTAGTAAATTTGGATGTTAAATTGATCAGTCCACATCCTGAAAGAAAATGGCAAGAGCTTTTAATTTTTCTGTCAACTGTCTGAAAATATATACTTTCACAATTGTTACAGAGGACTCCATAGCACTTTATAAACCGATAAATAGTACATCTATACTTTTCTGTTTATTATTGTAGGTATCATGACTGGAGCATTTTACTCAGTTTCAACACTATTAAATCAAATGATACTGACCTATTATAAGGTAAGCTTCTCTGCCTATGTTGTGTTACATGCCTGGCCAGGAATTTTTCTTTAGCAGTAGAATTCCTGTTAGTGTGATCATAAGATTAAAGATATGACCTTGTTATTAAAAATTTATGGTTTTAATTGAGAATACATTTAATGCAATTTATAAAACACACAAAATTGAAAGTAGAATTTACTGCTTTGACAATACCTAAGTCTTCTTTTTATTTTTTTTTTTAAAGAAATAATATGACTGCTTATATGGAAAAAGACAAAAAATTTTAAGGGACATCACCACAAATATAAAGAAGTGAATATCAAGCTCTGACCTCTCTTTGCTTGTGAAAGGAGAAAGCAGTTATAATATGCAAAAGCTATCAGATTAACCTCATCTGTGAATTACTTAAGAATTCTAAAAAATTCAGTCTATGGCCATGCCACCCTGCACAAGCCTGATCCTGTCTGATCTCAGAAGCTAAGCAGGGTCGGGCCTGGTTAGTACTTGGATGGGAGACCACCTAGAAAGACCAGGTGCCGTAGGCGTGAAAAATAAAAAATAAGGGATTGTAAGCTGACAAGGTCCTTGCAATTTGTGAGGTCAACCAAGGGTTGCCTCGCCTAAAAAAAAAAAAAAAGAAAGAATTCTAACAAAAATCATTGTATTTCTAATTAAGGAGGATCAAGAAAATTTTCCTTTTTGATTTCTCCCATATTTTAGGGTGTTTTTAAAAAATTCTGATTTTAAAATAGAATGTCCTTTATTATGCAATTACCTGCTCCCACTCCTCCATCTTAAACCCATATTGAATTTTCCTGTCATGTGTGCTTAATTATGTCTGATTATTTCCACTGACTGAAAAGGTATGGGAATATGAAGGATATGTTTGAATTAGAAGTATCTGAGTAACTTCTTATGAAAATTCTTTTAAGGGAGAAGAGCTGAATGCTGGAAGGATTGGGTTAACACTAGTAGTAGCTGGAATGGTGGGCTCCATTCTTTGTGGCTTATGGCTGGATTATACCAAAACATACAAGTAAGTAAAAGTAGATGTATGGTGTACAATCTAAGGTATTTTGTTTTTAAAGGAAATTGCTTTTTATTTTAAGAAATTTGAAAAGTGTTATTATTACTAAAAGACTTGGATTCATTTCTGAATGTTTCTGTAGTCTATAGTTTGTCTTATTTTGTTGAATATTTATTTCACCTTTGAGAACTGGGACACCTTATGCACCTTGTTCCCCCTCCAGTGAGTCTCATGCAGACCACTGTAGGAGAGATCATTTCTGTCCTGAAAAAAGCCCTTTCTGAGAAACATTTGACTTCTGACAGAGGCTTTATATTATTCTTTTCTTACATTGTAAGCTTAAAAACAAAAAGTTGTTCTTTCCTATCAAAAAATTATTATTGAGCATAAGGCTTTTTTTTTTTTGTAAAACATTTTTGGCTAAGATGCTCCTAAACTATATTGTACATCTATGTGGAACCAGCAAAATGTTAATACAAAAGAAAGAGTGAGTAATACCACCTGGGAGACTGAGAAAGGGGTTTGGGGGGCAGCATCTTTTGCACTGGGCTTTAAAAAAATAGCTACATTTTTTAACAGGCATAAACTTTCCACCTGCTTGGGAGGAATGAATGAATGAATGAAATGTGAAACTGTATCCTATGTACTTTCCAGGCCCAAGATGTTTGATACCATTATATAAACTCTTCCAAAATACCTCTGATCTTGAATTCTCTAAGATAGTTCTCCCATAATTTGATAGCGCTTGCTGCAGCTTCATTGTTATGAAATGGTAGCTAGAGTGAAACCCATTCAATTTATAGGTGAGGGGATCATATATAAAGGATTAAATTTAATAATAGTCCTTGGTCCACTGTGTAATTAGAAATGTGTTCTTCATTGCCCTGGCTTTCTTCTCAGGGTAAGTGCCATTCAGTCACCAAACTCCTGTTGTGTGCATTGCTCTTAACTAGGAATTGTGGCAAGTAATATATGGTCCCTGCCCTTGAGACATTTGTAGTCTAAGTGAGGGAAACAAGGCATTCACATATGAAAAGTTAAATACCAATGTTACAGACTACAATAGATGTCACAAGTCTGGTAGATGTCAAGTGCCAATTATGTGGATAGCTAAATGATAAGGGAATTTGATAGAAACAGTGTTACAAGTTTAAGTTGTTAGGAAAGGCATTTTGGAAGAGGTGGAATTTGATCTGAGTCTTGAAATACTATCCCATTTGGAACCATAAAGATGATTCTGTCCATATGACTATTCCTTCCTATCAGAGCACTGGATATGGTGTGGGTTTTGTTGTCTGCTGCTGTTGAATCTTAAATTTAAGCTTTGAAGTCAAGTCCATGCTTTGGTGGAAACATTTTCCAGAGAAATAAAACCTAATCTTAAAAACTAGAGAATTTATTACTGTACGGACAGAGCAGTGGACAGCCACGATTTTTATGTGCCTTGGAAAATCAGACAAAATACTAACATTTTTTGTTTGTTTGTTTGTTTTTGTTTCAGACAGACTACTCTGATAGTTTACATTTTGTCTTTCTTTGGAATGGTCATATTTACTTTCACACTGGACCTTGAATACATTATCCTCGTATTTGTTACGGGAGGGGTGCTTGGGTAAGAGGAACGATAGCATGCTGCTGTAATTCTGTAGTATTATTACTGTGGTTTTAATTTTTAAAGTTCATCCAAGGGTTCTTTAATATTTTAAGCTTTAAAGGATTCATCCTGTGCATATAAATGTGTGCTTATTTTTTAGAAATATAAGAAGTTTAGAATTGTTTTTTGGTATATGTAGGTGAAAAATGAATAAAACTTTACTTAGTCCAAGTAATTTTATTTAGTTAGAAAGACAACTAACTTAGGAAACTAGAGGTAAATTTTTCTCCGAAAAAAATGAAAGGAATTGTTTGCCTTCTCAGTTCTTGTGACCTTGGGCGGAATCGTTTTGCTTCTCAGTTCTTGTGACCTTGGGCTGATTGGTTAATAATAGTGCCTGACTTTCAGATACCAACTTCCAAACACTTCCTTATTTGGTCATTAGATTAAGCCTGAGAAGTAGAATGATTGCCTCAATGTGTGATATTGCCCTTTCATTCTTTCTATAATTCTGGATTCATTTTCCTAGTTTCTTCATGACTGGTTACCTCCCCTTGGGTTTTGAATTTGCTGTTGAAATCACTTACCCTGAATCTGAAGGTACTTCGTCTGGCCTTCTTAATGCTGCTGCACAGGTAACCCTCTGATTGCTCTTAAAACTGAGATGACTCATTTACTGAACATTCTAGTAGATAATGAGTTTGATCCGAGTTTTTGTTTTAAAAATTCCACCTTTCAGTGAATGCTTCTAGAAGCCAAATCATATGAATAAAATAGTTAAGAAAAGCTCTGGAAAAAACATTACACTTTTTCTAAAGAAGAGAACGTGATAAAAATTAATTCTTATTTTATTTTAGATATTTGGAATTTTGTTCACGTTGGCTCAAGGAAAACTCACGTCAGACTATGATCCTAGGGCAGGGAACATTTTCCTCTGTGTTTGGATGTTTGTAGGCATCATTTTAACAGGTAAATTTGAGTATTTTTCGGCAAAAGTGCTTGTATCATGTTGTGTTTGTATTTAATGTTCATGTATATTGATTCTAAACGGCTCAGCAGAATTCAAAGGAAAATGAGTTAAGAAGCGGAGTATTATGTGTTTCCTTCCAAGGATATGAATCTATTCATTTACTTTTCAGGTTTCAAATTCAGCACAATTAATTATACATAAAAAAACCTGTTAGAACAAGAGTTGGTAAAGACCTGGGCTCGAGTCTGATTCTGCTGCTCACTCGCTGTGTGACTATTTATTTATTTATTTTTGTTTCCACTTTTTTTTAAAATTAAGTTTATTGAGGTAACGTCGGTTAATAGAGTTTTATAATTTTCAGGTGTACATTATAATTCGACATCTGTATATTTTGTGTGTCTGCCACCTCTGTGTGACTTTAGACAAGTCACTTAACCTCTCAAATCCTCCTTACCTCATGTATGTAATAGGGTATTTAAAGGCCTGCCTTAGGGGGTTGCTGTGAGGATAAACAGGTGGTTCATGAACAGCTTGTAGTGTGGTGTCTGGCACCTGGGACGTGCCTAATCACATTAGCTATTATTATAATGTGGTGCTGGTGGTAAGAAGTCAGATGGTGGCGGTGGAAATAGTACATGGCATGGTTAGCCAGTTCCTACGCTTCTTAGGTATAATCGGAACAGACATGGGCAGGAATGAGAATAGTGCCCACTCTCCAGAGCAAGAGCATGTTAAAGAACTTTCATCTATACTTTATCCAGGCACAGGAGCAGGAAAGGATTTAGCAGCAAGACTCCGGAGCAGCAGTGCGCTCCGGCCCGCGCTGGCTTCTGCTGCTCTTTCGCTTTGTTCTTTTCTTTCTGCGTCTCTTTACCAGCAGGCGAGACAAAATCTGTCAGAAAGGTGTGAATCAAGCCTTCTTTTATGTTTGCTGGCTACCTGCTTCTGCTTTCTGAAACCCCCACAATGAGACCTTACCAGTGGCAAATATTTAGTTTGGAAAACACAACCACCTAAGGTCACTGTCATTCATTATGTTCAAAGAGAGTGTCACCTGTGGTCCCCAAGGAAAACATTCTACCATGAGGGAGTTTTTTTCCCCTGTTCTCTTCAGTTTAGTAAAATAAAACATATAAAACTGTGAAACATGTAATACATTAATTTACTTAACTCTTGATCTGTCATAAATAATTCCATGTTGGCTTTTAATTTCCAGGGAAGTAACATGTCTGTCAAATAGAGTGTTATTATTGAACCGAAAAAGGAGGCATTTTTGAGCTCTATTTTCACATTATTTTTATAGTCATATTCATAAATGGCAATTCAAACAAATCAAGTCTAGAAAATTAAGTGAAAAAAGCTTTAAAACTGTCTTAAGTTGATACTTTTACCATCTAAAAATGCTAAGTAATTTCTCTCACATGTTGCATATTTTACTGATTTTATATCCAGTGTTCATTTGTATAGACAGGAAGGAGGGCTGGGAAATTCCTGAGGTGTGATGAAAGTGGTACCTTTTCTTTATACATTTTTCCCCCTGGAATTGCTGGGAATTCTTGCTTTGACATAGGAGTTAGCATTTGAATGCAGTGCATTTTGCTTTGTAGTAAGGACAGCTCTGTAAAGCACATTCTTCATTTTTAGCCCATTTGTGTCCATTGAAAAACAGTGCGTGATAATGCTACCCAGTGTTCCTAAATTCTGTAATTAGAATTAATGGCAAAGAAACACACATTTTCTCCCTATTAAAAATGTAGCCTCTTTGGTTTGGCTAATTGTACAACATCGTAGAGCTGGTCAGTCAATGGCAATCATTGTTGCAATTTAAAACATACTGTTTTAATGTCTTAACTCCTTTTGAAAATGATCTTATTACACCTCACCAGTTTCTTCAAAGTCGTTTAAATGCATTCAGAAAAGCCGTATTTACATATATTCAATTAGCTCAGCACAAATATATGAATTTCTAAAATATTGATATCAGTAATGGATCAGGATAATAAAGGGGCAGTGTGGATTTCAAAGGAAGCATTAGATTAACATTTAGGACACTGACTTTCATCTTTTATTTTTACTTTGCTTTATAACTGATTAGATTACTTAACTACCAATATGCTTTATCTTCTTTTCTCATTTCACACACTCCTTGAGCAATCTGTGGCTTTCAACTGCAACTTAATGCTAGTAACTTCCAAATCTGTGTCTCCAGACCTCGATCTCTTTTACCTATTAGCCCAGTATGTCCAATCACGTATCTCTCTCCGGACCTGGATATTCCATAGGCATCTTACACTCAGCCTGTCCAGGACTGAACTTACCATCCTCCTAGGACACCTATTCTTCTGAGATTTTCAATTTCAATGGCAACGACTAGGACCACCATCTAGTCAGTTACCCAAACAAGAAAACTCAAAATCACCCATTTTTCTTTCTCTCATCCCTTTGTTTTTCATATTCTATCAAACAGCTGTGTCTTATTGGTTCTATTCTAAAATTTCTCTGAAACCTGTCTCTGTGTCTCCATTTCTCACACATTCACGCCTCACCATCTCTCAGCAGGATTAAAGCCTCTTAACTGAGCTTCCTGCCTCTAGTCTTGTTGCTGATAATCATCCTCCACATAGCAGCCAGCCAGAGTGAGCTCCCTAAGATGCAGGCCTGATAGCATCCGCCCTGCTCAGAAGCAGTGTAAACTCTTTACTCAGATGAGTGTAAACTCTTTACACAGTGAACACGCCACCTAACCAAACCCACCTCTTTTCCTGCCACCTCCCTCTCGAACTGGATGCTTCAGTGATCCAGACTGCCGCTAGTGCCAAGAATAGTCTGTATTCTTCCTGTCCCAATTTTTTGCATATACTACATTCTGCCTACCTAGAATTCCTTCTTCTCTCCTCTTATCTGCTTGACAAGTTCCTACTCATTTCAAGTTTCTATTCAAATATAGAAAGCCTTCCCTGATTTCCTTTGGCTGACGTGGCATTTGTTCTCCCATGCTCCCGCTACACCTTGTACACACCTGCATTATTGCAGTTATCCTACAGTGTTATAACTGTTTGCACGTCACTATTTCCCTAGGGGAGTGCAAAAAAATTTTGCATCTTTCTTTGTTTACTGTCATCCAGTATTTCTTCACTAATGAGTGACTTGCTAATAAGTTAATGGCTTAGAGAGGTACTATTATATTTCCAGACTACAAGGATGCCGTTGAATGTTATGGTACTATAGTGAGCTAAATTTGCCAATATCAAAGACTTCGCACTGCGTGGAGGACAGTACATTCGCGCAAACTCTGTGGTAACTCCATCGGTGCTTCTCTGTTTCAGCATTAATCAAGTCTGACCTGAGAAGACACAATATAAATGTAGGAATCACAAATGGCGATATTAAAGCTGTAAGTAATAAATATTTTTATGATCGTACTATTGAGAAATGTGTGCATGGAATAAATGTGAAACCCGTCTATCTAGTCAGCTCTTTTTTCATTCCTGAGCTAGCTGTTGATCAGTCATAATGGCATATGCCAAATTCTATAATTTTTTTATTTTCTGATTCTTTCTACAGGTACCAGTTGATAGTCCTACAGATCAAGAGTCAAAAACTGTTATGATGTCCAAGCAGTCAGAATCAAAAATTTGAAATGAAAAGTTAATATATATGATAACTGAGCAGTAAGGCTTGGTTTATAGGTTACGGGAAATGGACACTTACCTGAAGTCATTGTATGACACACTAAATGCAATTATTGTTTTGCTTAATTGTTAATTTAAGCAATATTTTGCTTGAAGTACTTTTGCTTACATCATTTTAACACTACCATTTATCTAGCGAGTGTCCCACTTTGAGTCTTCTATTGTCGATCTGAAAGTAAGCTTCTTGACATTTATTTTTAAAAAGTGTTTTTCTTCTTTGTAAAATTATAACGTGGAGGTCTGATCAGCGTACGTGCAGTTTATATAAGAAAATATCTGGTAGAAGCAAGTGTACAGTCTGTTCCTAATCGGCTCCCTTTGCATCCCTGTGGCCGCTGAGCAAGCTCCCTCAGTGTGAGTGCAGTGCGGCAAGGTGACGCGCTCACCCCCCAGAGGAGTGTTGGTGTGAGACTTCCAGGTGACCGCTATGACTTTCCCATTTCTCACATTCTCGTTACAGAGTGCTTTGTAACAGATACTGTCAATGGCCATAAAAACTATTCTGTGTACGGACTGAACCCATGACTTTGGTCTTCAACTTACATTCTCATTAAGCTAAGGAGCCAGACGCGGGCTCATTATCTTGAGTTCTTTGTGCTGCTTTCTTGTCATGGTGTAAATGCTAACACGATTTTTCCACTCCAATTTGAAATAGTTTTGTACCCATTGGCTTTTTTAATTGCTTCCTAGTAAGAAAATTCCATCTTATGTGTTACTGGCTTTTCCATGATTTCTTGTGTCACATCTTACACTTCGGCCTTGAAGATTCCTGAGATAAGGAAACCGGTGCTCAGCCTCGAGCTTCCCATTTAGTGGAGGCCTCTTAAAATGTCGTCTAATTCTCGGTACCGTTTTTTTCCGACCATTCTCCTTTGAGATATGCTGTGCCCAGGTTTGCGCTCGTGGCTTCTTGTCTTCGCCACAGAACGTGCAGTCTCCATACCGTGGGAACAGTCCGCTCTTTCATGTGCTCAGGGTAGGGAGAATAGGACCAAATGCATTTCCACAGTGCCTACCACTGTGTTTTGTTTACAGTGAAAATGTGAATGTCGTTTGTGTCCGGACTCTCTAAACTGATAAGGGCATATCTTCAGAGTAATGACATTTAAACAGCCATAGGTATTATGCCCACATCCCAAAAAAAAGGGAAAAAAAAAAAGCCAGTCAGGTATACCCTTGAATGAGCAGTTCTGGCTTGGGCATTGTTGAAATGCGTTGCTTTCTACTGAAATGAAAATTCTCTGTCATCAACCGATAGCGAATTATGTAAAATCTGACCTAGGAGAATGTGTTACGAGAACTTCCTAGCTGGGAATCAGGGACTCTGGGTCCACGTCCTGGATCTGGTTCTCTCTGTCCCTGTGAGTTTCTGGGCAGCACTTTCTTCATCCCTGTCATAAGTATGTTCAATTTGATCTCTAATTCTCTTTTGAATTTTAAATACCATTCATCATGGGATAGACCAAATCATTGTACTACAGGAACTTAAATATAGCTAGAGAAATTCCCTGGATAATTGGATAAACAACTGTGATTGTTGCTTTATGGATACGGGGAATATAAAATCTGTATTTAGCCTTTTTATTCAGTTGGTGATAGCTCAGGCAGAATATGCTGACACATTAAACTCCTTAGCTGTTTACATCACAAGTTTTACGGCCACAGATATATTTTAAGGTCCCTCCTCTAAATAATTGTTTTCATTTTTAAACTGTCTGTGTTGTTTAAAATAATCATGTACTTGAGTTCCTGAGATTTTGAACAAATTTTAGATAAAATTGGAATACTTTATTTCCAAAAAGGTTATACATATATGTCATGTGTATTTTTCCTTGTTAATTAGAAAAAGGATGAAATACGATGTGACAAAATGTGAAATGAATTGATAATTTTCTGTATTTTGAGTTACACTCATCTGTAATATGTCAAACAAGAATGTCATATAATTCTGTGTCTTGTCTTTGGGAAGTGGAGTTGGGTAACCAACACTTGTGTAAATTAGAAAGAAACTAGATGCTTTCATGTGATTTTAGAAAGAAATTGGATGCTTTCATGTGATTTTAGAAAGAAATTGGATGCTTTCAATAGCTATTGTATTTATAAATGTTGCAAATATAGCTTTTGCCTTTTGTGACTGTGGGAGAAATGTCTTTAAAAATATGTCTCTGTAAACCCAGAGTATTGCTGAAAGAATGCCCATCTGTCTGAAAGTCATTTTTCATGTTCTAAGTTTTGCTCTTTGTATTAGTTATCTATTCATGTGTTCTTCAGTATTTCAGACTTGAAATAAATTTATTTTTTTAATGTTAATTTTGTATGGCTTTTTTTTTTTTTTTTAATTCTGATACTTAGGTACGTGGGGAGTGGAAAGGAATTACAAGATTTCAGAATAGTCCAAGGAGAGTTGGTTTATGGAACTAAATCAGCAAAGTAGCGAGGGCCTCATCTCCCTCCTAACTTTGGTGCCTGTCCCCTCATTGTGCAGATGGGCTGCCCCCAGTGAGCCATCATGGGACACTACTCCTAAGCTTCAGACTTTTCTCTTTTTCTCCTGGTAGCATGTGCCTGAATGGTACCTTATATCCTAGAGTATGTGTCATTTTTCCTCAAGGCCCTGCTAATTAACATAATACAGACAATCTACACATTTCTTCATTGAAAAATGGAGTATGGTAAATGTTCTCATTCCCACCGACAGACCTGGGTAGCTTATTAATGAGGCCAAAAAGAAGAGATTTGATAGCAGCAAAGGAAGATACTACCTCCTATATAGACTGGAGGGCATAAAAAAATGCTACTACCACCTCTTGTCATACCATTTTAATTATAATTAGTGTGATATTTCAAGGTGAGGTTTCCAGCTTTATTGTTGAGCTAAGTAGCTAAATAGCTAAATGTAGTAAAAGTCATGAAACTGAAATGTAAAATAATACATAGCATTTTATCCGTTACTATTCGCTCTATAATAAATAGGGACTTTAAGATCTAAGCCCATTCTCAGATCCCACTGAAAGCCACTAAAATTGCATTTTGTTTTTCCCACAAAAACTACTTCCATCCAGGAAAAAAAAATATACAATTCATATTTTTCACAGCAGGCAAATATGTATAGGTAAGTAACACATTTTTGAAGCTAACTCTTTCTCCTGTAACCCAGTCTCAGCCTCCCAAACGTACCACTCTGCCCCGAATTAGTCATTCCCGTAGGTGACAACCTGCCCTGAAGTGACTTCAGGGACCTTGACAGGATCCATGCCTGGAAAATGTCCTCATGACATTTTTTACAGGAGATAAAATGTCTTTGGGTCCCTAAAGGGAGATAAGGTTTCAAAGCACAATGACCACCAAGAGGAGATACGGTCTCTTAAATCGGTACTGAGATCCCTAGGTGTCTGGAGAGCAGGTTTGAACAGGAGTGGGGAAGAGATGGGGTCTGGAGGCTCTAAAGCTGGAGAAAGGAGAGTGAGATTCAGGAGAGGGGAAGAAAGACTCATTCGAGTAAGACATCTGCGCTTCATTTTCCATTTACACAAATGACGAATTAGGCCTCTGCCTAATCTTGTTATATTATTCATTTGCACTTTTCTTTCATTTCTATTATTTTAAGCTCATCATGAAATGGTGATTGTACAGAGAACAAACTGTCAGAAACAAGTAGAAAATTGATTTCTGGTCAGAGCCTCTAGGTTTGGGTTGATAAATGCTGCTTGAGCACACAGTTTTCTCAGGGAAATACCTGGTTCCTCCAGGCACCAAAATGGCCCTGAACCCCCTGAAATTAAATGAGAGATTAAATTTTCATAAAGTTTCATAGTGAACAAAAGTGAGACCGAAATAAGAGTGACAGTGATTTCTTTTTCAGCGAAAAGCCTGAATCTTTCTAAACATATTTTGACCCCAAAACAAGCTCTAGGGCATTCTGGCTCAGGCAGGATTTAGGGGTGAACAGAGCTTCCCATTGCATAACCAGGAGATCAGTATTAAAAAGAGAGGTTATACACAGGCATAGATTCATTATCTGCAAACCTATGCAATTCTTGGCACTATTATTCACGAGAGTTTCCTTGTACTGTTAGAGTATGTTATTTATTTGCATTATTTTATTGCCTCTACTGCATTGGGAGCCCTTTGAAAGCATCCATCATGGTATATAGTGTAAAAACATGACCTAAAGTCTTAGGTACGAAACCTGGCTATCTATGACGTTGGGAAAGTAATTTAAACGCTCTGAATTTGTTTCTTCCTTTACCAAATAGGATAATATTTCCTACCTTGCAGGTTTGTGGTGAGGATTAAATTTAAGTAGGAGGCACACAGTAGATCCTTAACAAATCAGATCCATTTTTCTCATTGTGAGAAACAGTATAAATAGGGACTTGCTACTGATAACACTTGAGAGGCAGTTGGCTGATTTGGGAGAACATGGTGTTTTAAGTGTTTGAACTTGATGTTATTTACAGCAACTGCCACTAAAATCATATCCAAGGTAGCCACTTCCGTGAGCACGTGGGTACAACGTGGGCGCTGTGCAAAGACAATGAAACGAATGAATTCTGAAGAGAGTAGATCTGGGCAAGGGGGATGGAAGTTAAGGTGCTTGAGCACCAAACAACAAAGCCAAGTAACTCACGTGGGCAGGAAAAAAAAGGGTTATGTTTATTACACAACCCACAACCGAAGAGAGAAACAACAAGCTGGGAAGGAAGCTACCCACAGGTCCACTGCCCGTACACAGTTCTTCATTTGTTCTTGTTCCCTTTTCATTCACATGCATGTGTAATCTTACATAGGTATAAAAAGCGATTCGTATATTTAACATAACATTATAAGCATTTTCCATGTTGGTGCATGGCCTTTATAAACTTTATCAGTTTTATTGAGATAGAATTGACATGTAACATTGTATTTCAGGTATACAATGTAACGGTTTCATATATGTATATATTGTGAAATGATTGCCACAATAAGTTTAGTTAACATCTACCACCTCACAGTTAAAATTTTTTTCTTGTGATGAGAATTAAGATCTGTTCTCTTAGCAACTTTCAAATAACTGTTATTTTAAATAACTGCATAATATTCCAATTAGGCTGAATATACCATAATTTACTTAATGATTCCCTACTTGCGGACATGCATTCATTCACTTATTCACATTTGTGGAGCACATACAATTTTGTCAGGTTTATGTGGGGTGCTGGAAACATAAAACAGTGTCCTCTCAAAATGCTCAAAGACAAGAACATAAATTATCAGAGTTCACCGCCCTTGATCAGAGAGACTAGACATGCAAATGAAAGCGGGAGCCCCCCAGGGCAGCGGCGTCGCCTCCTGCAGGGCAGGGACACGAAGGGGCACACTCAGCTCTCCGTTGGAATCAGGCAAGGCTTTTCTTTTGAGCAGAGGACTGTGACACTTGTGAAGCCCAATGTCATTGTTTTACACCCCTTATGCCTCTCTGTCCAAACCAACATTCACCTTCACTTTCCAGTTTGTCAGACAGAACCTTCCCACAGCTCAGTCCGTCTCAATGAGAGGTGAAGGCCTGGGGTGTAATCCCAGACTGTTTGTACTTTAAGTTGGCCTAGTCTACATGGGTATGCTTAGACAGTCTCATTTGGCCAGTGAGACAAACTATGCGAGGTTTTGCACCGCCTTGTGACCCCGAAATCACTCTGCTTTAGGCTGGTGCCTCTTTGGGCTGAGTAAATCTGGCTTTTCCTTAGCACTGAAAACCGGGCTACTGGGCCCATAGCTGGCACTGGGCAGGGAGAGCCATTTCCACTCCAAAACCGGGGAGAGCATCCCCTCTACTGGGCAGTTTGTGAACTGTTTCATGCTCATTACTGAAATTTCACTGGATTTCTGGTGTGAAGGGTGTGTGTGTGGGTTTGGGGCAAGTGACTCACTGGATTGGAGACATGGCTGGAATGAACTAGCACATTGCTGTTCCCCATCCTCACCACACACATGCACATGCATGTGCACTCATTAAACAGACGCGTGCCCTCCCACTCCCACTGCCCGGGCAGCGTAGCATGAGGCAGTAGTGACCATCAGTGACCTTTCACCTTTCTAAGGACACTTCCAAGTCAAATAATGTGACGGTCGGCGAATGTGCTGACTTAGCTTAACTGTCTGCACAACTTCTGTAAAAAGGGGAAGAACACGATGTTTTTCTACTGGAGTCTGCTCCT